ATAATAATATCTGCAAATCTTCATGCCTCGAAATTCCCAACATTTTAATACTTATAATAAGTTGCAACCCTGCCAACCCTCCAAACTATAAACTTTCTAATAATTATGTAAAATAGTTTTAACCTTTGACCCTTCTTATCTTATGTCCTTACAACCTGTTAATTAATGAAAATCTCTTACACCTAACATCCATTAATAATTATAACAAGGATTTTTCTCTTCAACATTAATCTAAATCAATGTCATTTTCCTTGTTTAAGTCCGACCAATAATAATCAAGATACATGCTTGAGTCCTTACGACATCGCATGATTTTTCTCTTCAGCAATAATAGAGATTTAATTCCCTAACACTCCCCCGTTTGAATCTGATCAATAATAGCGGAGATATGTGTAATGCCCTTTTGACTACTTTCAGTATACCGGAAATTGTTAATCTAGATTATTTAAAAAAAAAATGTGTGAGAATTTTAAACATCATTTAGATTCTAGACCCTTCTTACATCTAAAACACATTCATTATTAAAGGATTTAACCTTCTTGTCTTACATTCTTACAACCTGTTTGACCATAAGTCAAGTAAACGAGACCAAGCTAGACGACATACTCTAAATAACGGAGTCGAATAATGTCTCCTTGAAAATCTAATCTAAACAAATCAAATCTAAGGGAGTTTTGAATGTTTTTTACTGAATACTACAGCAATCTGTTCACTATTTATATGTTTAAATCGCCCACACAAAAAACATGATATTCATATCAATATTTAGATACACCTTGACCTTGACTTTGACCTTGGCACGTGGGATTCGTGAGGCGTAAAGATGTTTTTCTTTAGATTTTTAAAAATGGAAAATTAGATTTTTTAAAATAGATTTCTTAAAATACATTTCTTAAAATAGATTTGTTCAAATAGATTTCTTAAAATAGATTTCTAAAAATAGATTTCTTAAAATAGATTTCTTAAAATAGATTTCTTAAAATAGATTTCTTAAAATAGATTTCTAAAAATAGATTTCTTAAAATAGATGTCTTAAAATAGATTTCTAAAAATAAATTCCTTAAAATAGATTTCTTAAAATAGAATTCTTAAAATAGTTCTCTTAAAACAATAATGAAGAGGTTTTACTTTAGATTTTTGAAAATGGATTTCTAAAATTATATTTTTAAAAGCAGCGTGCGTGGAAAGTTCGCGAAACGGGGCCCTTGTGTCGGTGGGTCATGTGGGTTGTGTGTGGTCGGTACATGATTGGTGTGTGGGAAGTGCATGAAACGGACCCTTGTGTTTGGTGCGTGGGAAGTGCATGAACCGAGCCCTTGTGAGTGTGGGTCGTGCGTGGTTGGTACGTGAACTTGTCCGCGTGTGTACGAGCATGTGGGTCGTGCGTGATCGGTGGCTGAACTTGTCCGCGTGGGTATGGGCATGTGGGTTGTGCGTGACCTTGTCGTCCGTATGGGTGGGGCATCCGAGTCGTGCGTGACCTTGATGACCTTGGCCTTAATGACCTTGACCTTGATGACATTGACCATTATCTTGGCCCTGACCTTGACCTTGGCACTGGAGGTTCTAAAAATAGATCCCTTTCTCTCTTATCAGTGGCCTAGTCCTTGTCCTTGTCTTTGACCTTAACCTTGACCTTGCTAAAAATAGATTCTTATCAGTGGCCTTGACCTTGTCTTTGACCTTGACCTTGACATTGACCTTGACCCTGACCTTGACCTTGTTGACCTTGACCTTGACCTTGACACGTGGGATCCTTATCTCTCTTATCTTCCTTATCTCTCACTTCCGGTGGGGAAATGGTATAGTTTATCTACTAGGATATATTTGTCATCGACAGTTTTTAAATTTAATTGTCGATAATCAATTACAACTCTCCATTTTTGTTGCCCTGGGGCGTCTTAATTTTTTTTTGGAACCACCCAGATGGGCGAAGACCAAGGTGAATCGCTACCATTTTTTGTATTTGTTTTTGAACTTCCGCTTTATAAATAAAAGGATATCTATATGGCCTAGTATATACAGGGATTTCATCTAAAGTTTTGATTTGGTGTTTTATTCTATTTCTGAAAGTTAACGGTGAATCTTCTTGATAAAAGATATCTGAATATTCTTTAATTAATTTAATAATTTCGGTTTTTTCTTCACGATTTAAATGATTAGTTCTAAATTTTGAGAAGTCTAAATTTTGTTTGGGTATATCATCAAAATTATTTATATCGAATTCTTGAACAAATTTTTCATCAAATTTTTGAACTAAAATTGGTTTTAAAAAGTCTAGTGTTACCGCATTGACTGTGCTATTTAAAATCGTTGCCAGTGCATAACCATTTTTTGCTGTGCTTAAAGATTCTGGAATTTCGAGCTGTGAAATTTTTGATAAGGAATAATTACGTCTCCATGTGAAATATTTGTTTTAATTTTAATGACTTTTTCTGTTCGTGGTTCTATAGTTACCAGATTAAGTTCATTACTTGTTTTATGATAAATGAGTGGAATTCTCGTGTAAGGTGTAATCAGATATCCATTTTCAACGTCTATCTTTGCTTGTAACAGTTTAAGATTATCAATACCAAGAAGACCATTGAAAACGGTGAAATTGAAATAGAAAAAATTTAAATTTTATTGGAAGGATGACGAAAAATGTTTGAAACTAAAATTTCGGCGCTGTATTTGTTTGAAGATTTTAGGAAAACTGTAGGTACTATGAATGGGTCATTTTTTATTGAGTTTTGATAATATTTAAAAGCTATTTCAGGATTGATAGAAGATCTGGTTGACCCTGTATCGATTAACATTTTTAAATTGAGTTCTGGAAGAATAATGTAAGGGAGTTCGCTAGTATATGCGGTGTTAACAGGAATAATTTCTGCGTTTAGATTTGTTTTTTGTTCCGAGGTCCTTTCTGAAAATTTGCATTTTCATTTGGGTTATTTAAATCAATTAAATCATGACATTCGGAATTAAATATTTCATTGTTGGTATCCGTAATATTATAGTTTGTATTAGAAGTATAATCAGTAAAATTATTAGAATTATTTGGATTAAAATTTTCATAAAAATAACTATTAGGATTGCATGTATTAAAATCTTGATAAAATGAATCAGGATTTTCGCATTCGACATTAAATAATTCCTCTGATACGAAATTTCAGGGACCACTTGGTCTAAAGTTTGTAGAAGATTGTCCATTAAATGGGCGAGTATTTCCTGTTGAAACAGACCTAGGAGTTGGATTAGGAAATTTGGAATTTGGATTAGGTTTAAATGCATTGTTGTTTTGGTTAGGAGGACCAAAAACTTGACGATTTGTAGGAAAATTTTGACGTATTGGTCTGGGCTGAACTAAAATTGGTTGGGACGGAAAGTTTTGATTTTGTCTCATACGAAAATTATTGGGATTAAATGAAAAATTAGGATTTTGATTTTGTCTCATAGAAATTATTGTGATTAAATGAAAAATTAGGATTTTGATTTTGCCGATAATTCGGTCTGTAAGACTGAAAGTTTTGTCGTGGAACATGAGTTGATTTTGGCAAATTTTTTACAGTGTTTTGTAAATAATTTTGATACAAATTGCTTTGCTTCACTTAATGAATCTGGTTTCATACAGCGAATAATCGTACCCAATGGTTCTTTTAAGTTACCAATTAACTCACTGAACAAGCACCTCCACAGTTTCTCAACAAAGTCACAAGGTTCGTTATTTCGGCGAATCGTTGAAAGGAAAATTGCACATTCGATATGCACAACCCAAAATATCCTACTGACTGCGCCAAAAATGTCAAGTAGCGTAAAAAGTTTATTTTTAAAAAATATTTGATTAATTACAAATAACCCCGACAATATTAAAATATACGATCTAGATACTTTGGATGATAATTACTGACTAACTGAAAAAACTATTCTAAAAACAAGACTGGGATTAAATTGAGATATATAGAGTTTCGTCTTGTCAGCATATTCTGATTAGTGTCTATTGTAGAGGGTGTGTTTCGTCTTGTCAGCATATTCTGATTAGTGTCTATTGTAGAGGGTGTGTTTTAAAAAGATTTTTATTGTTAAATAAATTAGTAAACTATATTGAAAACAGAGGTAGGTACTTAAAAAACTACGAAAATTAAAGTTGGTTGATTTTATTTTCCACTAGTTGAAGAATGTATATCATACTTAAACTAAAAATGTATTGAAAATCAACTTATTTTTACATAGTCGTGAAAAAATAAATTATATTATATTTCTTTTGAGAACACTGTTTTCTTCAGCTCTTTTACAGAGACGTGTAATGTTCTGACGTCAAGAGTAAAACCCTTATAGTAGGGGAGCCCAAGTGTGGATTTTGAGATTTACTCAAGCGCGGCAGAATAACATAAGGGAGAAAACCTTGCACTCTGTTATGAACATGGAACATACATGAACCCTTTATATAGGATCGTGCGTTTAGGGCCGTGTAGTGCCATTACAGACCGTCCCATTACCGACCGCGACCAAAAAATACCTGCTCGAGTGCCACTACCGCCCGCGCAGGGTTTACTTACTTTTGTATATCCCACTACCCTCCACGAGATTCTATCACATAATAAAATATGTTATGATTATGTTTTGGTATAAATGCCACTCCATATTATTTGTCCATATTATTAATGTATTAACATGGAGCTAGTTTTTAGTGGCTATATGTTTATCAGTTTATCATGAATATAGACTTTTTTCACACTTGTGGAAAGTGTACTTACTTAACTCGAAAATTTCAAAATGTGGAGCTATCTTGTTTTTACAGTAACCCCACAAAATTCCAAACGTTTATTTAAAAATTAGCATGCTATTTAGCGCTGTGACCAATAATAGTGTTGCGGTCCACAAAAAAAGCTTGGAGCGGGCCGCAGGTTGGGTATGCCTGCTCTAGAGTATAACTTACATTATCAATGTGACAAAATTACCAGACGAATGAAAATTGGCCTTTTTTGTGTTTAAACAGTTTTTCTTTCTTATTTTTTCAGAACACCCGAACAATGTCCAAGCGTAGTTTCCCTCTTAGCCGAAAGTTACAATCCACACGTGCGCTACGGAGCCGCCATGGCTCTAGGTATCGCATGCGCGGGAACCGGTCTGCGCGAAGCCATAGCCTTACTCGAACCGATGGTCATGTTCGATCCCGTTAACTTTGTGCGACAGGGCGCTCTCATCGCTTCCGCCATGATCCTCATTCAACAAACGGAACAGACTTGTCCGAAGGTCAGTTTTTTCAGGCAGACGTACGCTTCAGTCATTTCCAATAAGCACGAAGACGTTATGGCTAAATTTGGCGCTATTTTAGCTCAAGGTGATTATAATTGATACTACAGTTATACAAAATTGATAAATAATATGGAACAATCTGTATGAAACCCATTCTATTCTATTACAGGAATAATCGATGCTGGTGGCAGGAACGTCACTTTATCATTACAATCTAGAACTGGTCACACTAATATGTTGGCTGTGGTGGGAACACTGGTGTTCACACAATATTGGTACTGGTTCCCATTGTCTCATTGCTTGGCCTTGGCCTTTACTCCTACGTGTGTTATTGCGTTAAATACACAACTAAAGGTAATAAAAGAGTAAGCCAATACATTATACATTTTCTTTTAATGCTAAATGCTATTATCATCTTCCAGATGCCTAAATTGGAATTCAAGTCGAACGCCAAGCCCAGCCTTTATGCCTATCCGGCGCCCATGGAGGAAAAGAAACGCGAAGAACGGGAAAAAGTGACGACAGCGGTGCTGAGTATAGCCGCTAGGCAGCGCAGGAGAGACCACGAAAGAAAGCATCGCGACGAAAAAATGGACGTGGTAAGTACAAAAGTACGACATGCTCTTTTACAATTTCGTTTCGAGAGTTAAAAATTCCTTTATTTCCTCCAAAATTTTGATTTAGAAGTCTCTTTAATTGGACTACGAGGCGGTACTTATTTTATATATATACAAATTTTCATACTATAAAATTAAAACTTTTTATAACAAAATTATCACATCACGATAATTTCAGGACGAAGAAAAGGACGACAAAAAAACCGAAAAGGAAGAAAAGAAACCGGAAGAAAAAAAGGAAGACAAGAAGCCCGAAGAGAAGAAAGCGGACGACAAGAAACCTTCAACTTCGACGGCCGATGATAAAAAGGAAAAGAAAGACGAAAAGGAGGAGAAGAAGAAGGAACCCGAACCGAATTTCGAAATCTTGCAAAATCCTGCCAGGACCATGAGGCAGCAATTGAAGGTGATCACGATCAACGATAGCACGCAGTACACGGCGATGAAAGATGTTTCGATAGGCGGCATCATCATGGTGCGAAATTTGAAGCCTGGCGAAGAGGAATTGGTAGAACCTGTAGCAGGTGAGTTTTTTTATTTATTTTTTTTTAATGATACACATCTAGTGTTTGTATTTTCGTCCAGTTCATTATGCCTTTTTTAATTTTTTCTGATATTTCTATTTAGTCATTTATTTAGTTAGCTTATTAGATGGTTTAAATGTAACGTTATCAGCTAATAACACTACTTGGTACATGGCGACAGACTATATGTTTCTGTTTGTATTATCATAGTTTGAACTTTTTTTTCTCTTTTCGATATTTAACTTTTTTATTTATTTTTATTTTTTATCATTTGTTCATTTTTTATTGTTTTCTATTTTTTTTTTTAATTCTTTGTCCTAAAAATCTACTAGTATAATATACTTAATTGTTTGTTTTATATCCTTTTTGCATTCTTTTTTAGAATAACCATTTTTAATTTTTCTGTTTTTGTTTCATTAAATTAGGTATATTTATTTTTTCATTTATTTTTATTTAATTTAATTTATTTAATTTATAATAATTTTTATTTGTCCTTACTTCAATTTTTATTTATTATTTTTATATATTTTTTTATTTTTATTTTAAAGTCTCTGTCCCAATCTACTAATATTATTATATATTTGTTTTTTATATTTCCCGTTAGAGTTCTTTTTTGCAATATTTAGTTATAATCCATTTTTTATTGAGATTTTTTATTTTCTCAAGTATATTTATTTAAATTTTTTAATTTTATTTTAAATTATTATTTTTTATTTATCCTTATTTTGTTTTATATTTATTATATTTAGTTTTTTAATTCTTTTTTATTACTTTCTCCTAATAACGTATTAATCGAATGAATATATTAATTGTTCTTCTATTCCCTTCTTTTTTTTTCGTTCTTTTTCGCATAATTTTTTTATAATCCATTTTTATTTTAATTTTTTTTATTTCTTCTTTATTTCAATGGGGGAAAAAGGGATAATATACTGATCACGGAATTAGTCGATATAGCTAATTTTGTCGTCATTTGTAGGAGACTGTATCTCGCAAACACATTAGCCGATTTTTAAAAATGAGGAAGATTCTGAAAGTTCATTATTTCTTGTATCAATGGCTTTAGTAAAAAGTCATTTTTCAGTGTTGCACAAGGTGTGATAGAATACAATGTAAAAATGTATATTTTAAACTGCCTGTTGCACTAGTAATCACATTTACAAGTTTTGGTCGATATCTCGGGATGTATTTGACAGTTTTGTATTTTTAAGCTATTACATAGCTTTTATCGCGGGCTTTCAGTGCGGCGACCGAAACAAGACCTAACACCCCCACTCCGACCGGCACAGCGTAAACAATATTAACTTTAATTCAATAAAAGAAAATGGAAAAATGGAAAAATGGAAAAATGGAAAAATGGAAAAATGGAAAAATGGAAAAATGGAAAAATGGAAAAAATGGAAAAATGGAAAAATAATGGAAAAATGGAAAAATGGAAAAATGGAAAAATGGAAAAATGGAAAAATGGAAAAATGGAAAAATGGAAAAATGGAAAAATGGAAAAATGGAAAAATGGAAAAATGGAAAAATGGAAAAATGGAAAAATGGAAAAATGGAAAAATGGAAAAATGGAAAAATGGAAAAATGGAAAAATGGAAAAATGGAAAAATGGAAAAATGGAAAAATGGAAAAATGGAAAAATGGAAAAATGGAAAAATGGAAAAATGGAAAAATGGAAAAATGGAAAAATGGAAAAATGGAAAAATGGAAAAATGGAAAAATGGAAAAATGGAAAAATGGAAAAATGGAAAAATGGAAAAATGGAAAAATGGAAAAATGGAAAAATGGAAAAATTGAAAAATGGAAAAATTGAAAAATGGAAAAATTGAAAAATTGAAAAATTGAAAAATTGAAAAATGGAAAAATGGAAAAATGGAAAAATGGAAAAATGGAAAAATGGAAAAATGGAAAAATGGAAAAATGGAAAAATGGAAAAATGGAAAAATGGAAAAATGGAAAAATGGAAAAATGGAAAAATGGAAAAATGGAAAAATGGAAAAATGGAAAAATGGAAAAATGGAAAAATGGAAAAATGGAAAAATGGAAAAATGGAAAAATGGAAAAATGGAAAAATGGAAAAATGGAAAAATGGAAAAATGGAAAAATGGAAAAATGGAAAAATGGAAAAATGGAAAAATGAAAAAAATGAAAAAAAATGAAAAAAAAATGATGAAAAAATGAAAAAAAAATTAAAAAAAATTAAAAAAATTAAAAAAAATGAAAAAAATTAAAAAAATGAAAAAAAAAAAAAAAAAAAAAAAAAATGAAAAAAATTAAAAAAAAAAAACGAAAAAAAAATCGGAAAAAAGAAAATCGAAAAAAAAAAAAAATCGAAAAATCGAAACAGAAATTCCGTAACGAAAATGAACCTAACACCTCTCACTCCGTCCGGCACAGCGGTGCGGCGTTGAAAGCCAGACGTGCATCGTCTAACGTCGTTTCAGTTCGGCAGACTTCGGCACGGTGTTTGTGTACGTGCGACTAGACGTATGCGTGTAGACTAGCTGCTAACTGATTCTATCTCTTTTAGACACAATTTCGGAAAAATTTAATTTGAAAATGAATAATGATCCACAAGAATCCACAACAAAATATGGGACCACCATTGACGCGGTATTTTCCAGATATTTATGTTTCTAATTTCAGTTAACATAAACCTATTAGATTAGATTAGGAGTTGGACGTTATTTGTCCTTGTCCACCGCGACCTTTTCAGATCTATTGTGGGACTCCGTTTGTTTTAGAGTATGTCGTCTAGCCTGGTCTTTTTTATTAGACTTAGTAGCTTTGACAGTGGCTCCCGCATGTAGTTGCATGCAATTGGCTTTTCTTCGCCCAATGTTAGAAACCTCGTTCCAGCCAAGCCTTCACATTGGACGTGGAACGATGTTTCCTCTTCTTCTTCTTCACAGAACCTGCACAAAGTTGCTTCTTCTGCTGGATTTATGACACTCATGTGCCTTTTGAGGCGACAGTATCCAGTAAGAAGGCCTACTGTTATCCTAACGATTTTACGTTTTTGATCCAGTAGGTCTTTCGTAAACTTGGCCGATGGTTCCTTGATGAACTGTTTGGCCTGTCTCAGTCTTGGATAGTTGTTCCACTATTCGTGAGACTCTTTTTGCATCCATTGTTTAATGGATGCCTTGCACAATGCCTTAGCAACTCCACAGAAGGGTTCGGGGCCTGTCATGGCCTTATCTGAACTTTCTCGGGCTAATTCGTCGGCCTTTTCGTTGCCCTGATATCCCTCATGGCCTGGAACCCAGGCTAAGGTCACCTTATTGTGACTACTTAGCTCTGTCAGGTCTTCTAAACAGTCTTTCACCAGTCGTGATTTGATTTCTGGTGAGAGAATTGCCTTTAGAGCTGCTTGGCTATCAGAGTATATGGCAATAGTTTTGCCTGATATTTGCTGATTTAATATTTCTCTTGCACAGTGTTGTATGGCTATTAGCTTAGCCTGGAACACTGTTGCATATTTTCCTAACCTTAGTGAAATCGTTGATTTCGACTTAGGTCCATAGATTCCAGCACCGGTTCCTTCCTTGGTTTTTGAACCGTCTGTGTACCAGACAAGTTCAGCCTGTACGGGAGGTTCCTGTTTCCAGGATTCTCGGGCTGGTATTTGAATTTGAAAATTTCTTTCAAATTTGTATGTGGTTATGGCTCTATCAGTAGGCATAGCTAGAATATTATCCCTTTTTACTTGCTGATATAGCCTTGTGTGGTCGGCGCTATGTAGTTGGCTTATTGGGTTTTGTCCCTGCATTAGCCTGTGAATAGTTGACCTGGTTTCTCCGTGTATGAAGATGTGTAATGGCGTTAGATTTAGTAATACCTCCATTGCTGCGGTCGGCGTAGTGCGCATGTATAAAAAAAGTATAAAAAAGTATAACTTGAATTAATAATTAAGAAAAAACTTGAATTAATATCAAATAAATTAAAATACTTGTGGCACTCGGGGACTGCCGCGGTAAAGCTATTGCATAGCATTTTTATCAACTTATGTAATTATAATTATTTATTTTATTTATGCAGTATTTTTTTTTCTTTGGTATTAATTCAAGTTTTTTCTTTAATATTAATTCAAGTTACACTTTTTGAGCGTGGTGACCGACAAGAAAACAATTTTTTTTTTATTGAATAAATGAGAAGTTAATATTGTTTAAAATATTTTTATTATCTTACAATACATGTAGGTTATTCAGGAATTTTTATCATTGAAACTATAGGTTTATGGTAACTGAAATAAGAAACATAAGTTTGAGACTTGATATCTTCTAATTATCTGGAAAATACCGCGTCAATGGTGGTCCCATATTTTGTTGTTAATTCTTGTGGATCATTATTCATTTTCAAATTAAATTTTTCCGAAATTGTGTCTAAAAGAGATAGATTCAGTTAGCAGTTAGTCTACACGCATACGTCTAGCCGCACGCACACAAACACCGTGCCGAAGTCTGCCGAACTGAAACGACGTTAGACGATGCACGACTTTCAATGCCGCACCGCTGTGCCGGTCGGAGTGGGGGTGTTTGGTTTAATTTCGTTACTGTAGTTACGGAATTTCTTGATTCGGTCGCCGCACTCAAAGCCAGCGATAAAAGCTATGCAATAGCTTAAAATACTGCATAAATAAAATAAATAATTATAATTGCATAAGTTGATAAAAAATGGTATGCGATAGCTTTACCTACACTTCGCCTGAAGCACTAACAGGTTGACCCAAAATGCTAATGAAAACGAAAAACGGCGTTTCGTTGGCGGTTAATAGTACAGTAAAAGCCCGCTTGAATTAAAATCCTAGCTGATCCTTTTTTCAAGATAAGTGGATTTTCACTTTTTCATAATTTTTCATCATAATTAACCCGGGAACGCCCAATCCACCAAAATTTTCCACCCCAAGTTTTTGTTCTCGAGGCCCATGTGATGGTAGTTACAGCTCTTGAGAGTAATCGTTTTTACCCCTGAGAGGCTTTTTTCACGAGTAAATTGGTCAAACTGGGGCTTTTCGAGAACAAAAACTTGGGGTGGAAAATTTTGGTGGATTGGACGTTTCCGGGTTAATTATGATAAAAAATTATGAAATACTGAAAATCCACTCATCTTGAAAAAAGGATCAGCTAGGATTTTCGTTCAAGCGGGGTTTTAATGTACTATTAACCGCTAACAAATCGCCGTTTTTCGTTTTCATTGGCATTTTGGGTCAACCTGTTTGTGCTTCAGGCGAACTGTGACCGCGGCAGTCCCCGAGTGCCACACGTATTTTTTACATTGTATTCTTTCACACCCTGTACAACACTGAAAAATTACTTTTTATTGAAGATTACATCAAGCCATTAATACAAGAAATAATGCAACTTTCATTTTTAAAAATCGGCTAAGGCATTTCCGAGATACAGTCTCCTGCAAATTACGATAAAATTAGCTGTACCGACTAATTCCGTGTATTGAATTATCATAATCTGAAATTTGAAACATGAATAAGACTTAAAGACTTTTGATGTATTTTGACAAGATCTTTGGTGCCCTTAACTCTGGTAGGATGGTTCACTAGGTATCGTTTCTAATAATCTCAAAAAAAGCTTATAATATATTTTTTCCTTTTTTCTATTCGTGAGGTGATATTCAGATATATCCATACTTTATACTAATCCTATATGTATACACTTTTAAATCTATTTCTAAATAAATATTATTCTAATAAAAAAGAGTTACAGCCAATTTTCAGTTTTGCGGGAGTTGTTTTTTAATTTAAAAATACTATTTTTTTCGTAAAGTTGATAAATTATTACCGTTTCTAAATTTAATATTAAACATGATTACAAAAATAAATCTATTGAACGAAATACATTTTATAAATTCGAGCTTTTACGACTCAAAGAATGAATCCGATTTTGTTTCTGTTTTATGTTTTTTGCGTTGTTAATTTTAGAGCTGGTAAACTAATACATTGTAGCTTTACGTTATATGTATTGATTTTAAATTGGAATGGGTTTGATATATTATTCCTAATTTTGGAATTATGACTCAATCATTTATAGTTGGTTGAGCTAACTGTATTTTCGGTCAAAATTTCTATTTAATTTCAGTTTAATTTAATGCTACTAATTTATAAATGCGAAAGTTTGGATGGATGTATGGATGGATATTTATTGCTTAATCACGCAAGAACGGCTGAACGGATCTGGATGAAATTTGGCACAAATATAGATTATATTCTGAAATAGCACATAGGCTACTTTTTATCCCGAAAAAATATACGTTTCCCGTGGGATAGATTTGTTTTTGTTTTTCAAAGACATGATTTTTTACATAGTGGTAGTAAAACATGAAAATTTGAAATACAGCTACTGAGCATAAATAAATAATGACGTATTTAAGGGTGTTTGGATTTTCATATTTTAAGGGGTTAAAAGTATATAATTTAAATATAATTTAAATATAATTTAAATATAATTTAAATATAATTTAAATATAATTTAAATATAATTTAAATATAATTTAAATATAATTTAAATATAATTTAAATATAATTTAAATATAATTTAAATATAATTTAAATATAATTTAAATATAATTTAAATATAATTTAAATATAATTTAAATATAATTTAAATATAATTTAAATATAATTTAAATATAATTTAAATATAATTTAAATATAATTTAAATATAGTTTAAATATAATTTAAATATAATTTAAATATAATTTAAATATAATTTAAATATAATTTAAATATAATTTAAATATAATTTAAATATAATTTAAATATAATTTAAATAAATTTAAATATAATTTAAATATAATTTAAATATAATTTAAATATAATTTAAATATAATTTAAATATAATTTAAATATAATTTAAATATAATTTAAATATAATTTAAATATAATTTAAATATAATTTAAATATAATTTAAATATAATTTAAATATAATTTAAATATAATTTAAATATAATTTAAATATAATTTAAATATAATTTAAATATAATTTAAATATAATTTAAATATAATTTAAATATAATTTAAATATAATTTAAATATAATTTAAATATAATTTAAATATAATTTAAATATAATTTAAATATAATTTAAATATAATTTAAATATAATTTAAATATAATTTAAATATAATTTAAATATAATTTAAATATAATTTAAATATAATTTAAATATAATTTAAATATAATTTAAATATAATTTAAATATAATTTAAATATAATTTAAATATAATTTAAATATAATTTAAATATAATTTAAATATAATTTAAATATAATTTAAATATAATTTAAATATAATTTAAATATAATTTAAATATAATTTAAATATAATTTAAATATAATTTAAATATAATTTAAATATAATTTAAATATAATTTAAATATAATTTAAATATAATTTAAATATAATTAATTTAAATATAATTAAATATAATTTAAATATAATTTAAATATAATTAATTTAAATATAATTAAATATAATTTAAATATAATTTAAATATAATTTAAATATAATTTAAATATAATTTAAATATAATTTAAATATAATTTAAATATAATTTAAATATAATTAATTTAAATATAATTAAATATAATTTAAATATAATTAAATATAATTTAAATATAATTTAAATATAATTAATTTAAATATAATTAAATATAATTTAATGTAAATTTAATATAAATATAATTAATTTAATTTCAAATTCAATATGAATTAAACTTTGAATCAGGATCGAACCCAAATGGTATTGTTGCTTATTTACAAATCAAAATCACATTTATTAGGCGAGCCCTATAATAATTACATCATGCAAATTTTGCTCCCCTACCAATTTATCAGAGCGTGTAACTATATAAATCAAACTTTATGTATGCGAAAAGTTTGTTGCCTCAAATATGTGAATGATCTTTTTTCCTTGTTTAAATAATAATTTTTAAAAGTTGAAAAAAAAATTGAAATTTATACTTTTATATCACCCCTTTCATTGTTGATTACTTTTATATATATACCTTTATAAAAGGGTATACACTTACAAAAAGGATATATTCTTATAAAATGGTATAATATACAGTTTATCTACGTTGTTTTTCAATTTAATGTTGTTGCTACTCAATTTAGTGAATAAAAGCCTAGATTTTGAAAGATTTATATTAAAAAGTGTTGATTTGGTGAAAATTGGGTCCACGAGAAAATCCCCAAACTCTTAATTTTTTATGTATGTTTAGCGATAATTCTTTATCACCTTGTACGATTTCTATGATTCTTTTTTTGGTAGTAAGGAGGAACCTTGGGGGTGGTCTTATATAAATTTGATCAAGATGTGGTAATGGCATCTGCACGATTTTTAAGTCGGTTTTTTAAAATTACTTTTAATACTTCAAAAAAGGAAGAGGGTATCAATTCGTCGAAATAGTTTTTTTTATGTATGTTCACCGATAATTCTTTCCTACATCATCCGATTTCTACCATTTTTGTTAGAAAGAGTGTACCTCAAGGGTGGTCCCATAATGGGATCCATAAGAAAATCATCAAACTCTTCATTTTTTAAGTATTTTTATTGATAATTATTTACCATGTTGTCTGATTTCTATGATTCTTTTTTTATACAATTGATCAGGATCTGATGACCTTTGAGAAAATAAAAAATCTAAATTTTTAAGGGCATCTGCACGATTTGGCAATGTTTTTTTTAAAATTACTTTTATTGAACATTTCATCAAAATATATTTTCACTTAGTAACAGTTTTTTTTTTGTCTATAGCTTTTGGTCCAAAGGGCGAGGATGAAAAAGAGCCAGAACCACCAGAACCTTTTGAATGGACTGAGGATTAGAAGATTGAAAATAATATTTTTTTGATATAGATAAAATCGCGTTAACTATTTTTTTTCATTTTGTTTAAGAATTTTTGTTTACACACCTTAATATTTATTGAAATAATTTGTATAATTATACTGCCCGTTGTATTAAATTTTCTATCCGCATAAGATTGTTGTAAAACATAGTGACATCATTGCAATGGATTAATAAAATTATACTTGTCAAAAAAAATATTTATTTACCTATTCCCAGAATTTTTTTTCAGTGGGTTTTTTAAATTATAGACAGGTTAGTCATATTGTTTCTTAATTTTTACTTTCCTATCTGTATACAGATATAAGGAAAGTATAGGAATCATGATTTTTTTCGACCTCGAGTTTTCGACGGATTTTTACGTTTTGAGGTCCCCTAAATCCGTTTTGACTATTTTCGCGATGATGTCTCTGTGTGTGTGTGTGTGTGTGTGTGTGTGTGTGTCTGTGTGTCTGTGTGTGTGTGTGTGTGTGTGTGTGTGTGTGTGTGTGTGTGTGTGTGTGTGTGTGTGTGTGTGTGTGTGTGTGTGTGTGTCTGTATAACGCATAACTCATGAACCGATACACAGAAAAACACCAAATTTTAAACTTAAGCTTTGTTTCAGCGTCTTATGAGCTGATTAGATTTTGGGCAGAGTCGGAACATTTGGGGGGGTACTTTATGGGTGGTCATTTTTATATTTTATGGAATATATCTGTTATTTACGTTTGGAGAAGAAAATTCTTTAAATAAAAGTTACTTCTAATATTATTATCTATAATTTTTGTTCTATACAAAATTTTCCTAAAATGGTCCGTATTCGAGAAATTTGACAAAATGTAAAAAAAAATATTTTTTTATAAAAATTGTTCAAATAAAAATTGTTTGTAATATAATTCTCTATAATTTTTATTCTCTACATAATTTCTCTAAAATGGACCGTATTCGAGATATTTGAGAAAATGTGTAAATTTCGAATTTTGAAAAAAACTCAAAAACAGATAAAGAAAAAAACATTAAATTTTAAACTTAAGGTTTATTTCGGCCTGACGTAAAACGATTAGATTTTGGACAAAGTCGGAACATCTGGGGGGGTACTTTATGGGAGGCCGTTTTTATATTTTATGGAATATATCTGTTATTTATGTTTGGAGAGGAAAATTGTTCAAATAAAAGTTACTTCTAATATTATTATCTGTAATTTTTGTTTTATGTAAAAATTTCCTGAAATGGTCCGTATTCGAGAAATTTGACAAAATGTGCAAAATTCTGATTTTTATTAAGTTTTTGAAATAAAAGTTGTTTGCGATATCGATCTCTATAATTTTTGTTTATACATGATTTTTCTAAAATGGACCGTAATGAAAAAATTGTAGGAAATTAAAATTTTTCAGTATTTTCGTTTTCCATGAATATCTATAGAAAAATGTTTCGAGGTAGATGTATGTGGACAATGTATATATTTAGTTTATCCTCTAAACATTTATATAACTAGATAGGAAAGTCATGTGTTGGACACATCAGATTTTTTTTATTATTATCATTATTTTATTATTGCGATCTTTTTGTTTCTTACTAATTTTTTTATCTATTATTTATTTTTCTATTTTATTTATTTAATTAATTAATTATTTATTTTTTTAATTGATTTACAATATTAAATATAAATTATAAGAAGCAAGTTAGTACATAAATTTAAGAAAAATGCTTTAAGTGATAGATATAGAGACGAACAAAAATAGGAAAAAAGTAGCGAGAAATGGTGAGTAGAATTTTTTTTTACTCGTTGTCATTGGCCTTTAAGGTTTGCGTCTGACACACAAGGAATCGCATTTCGCGCAAGAAAAGGATGGGTATAACTTTCCGCAAAGTAGGTGTCCCGGGACGTGGCGGTCCCAGACAGTGACTAGAGGAACTTCAAAATTTCTAACCATCGACGAATTGTTTTCTACTTCTGCTTTCAGGCCTCTGACCGTTAACAAATTTGCATAAGCAGGCCCGGCATTAGTATCTTTTTGGGAAGAAATTTGAAAAGTTTATTTCTAGTTTGTAAATTACATATCATGTCATAAAAAGTTTAAATTAAAGTATGCTAAAATATAAATAAAGCAATTTACTGACAATTAGTTTGACAGAAATGTTACTTATTTAAAATTTTAAAAATAATAGTAGTTGGGTGATGAAAATAGGAACTGTGATTGGTGTATTTTATTATTTTTATAGTGTTCTTACTACCTAAAATGGATATGAAATATATTCGTTCAGTTGAACGCAATACCATTCTTTTTCGTTTTGTACTCTATGCGTAGATAATCTAATATCCTTGTGGGTATAGAAAAAAATTATTTTCGTTTCCTAGAGGTTTTGCAATTTCATGTTTTCCTTCACTATTTTACTATCTTTCTTATATTATCAGCTTATAATTTATTATTGATAACGTAATAGCGGATACTTTTTTGGATTTGCATCCCAATTGTGCAAATAAATTAAAGGTATAGCTGTTACGGTCAAAGATGATATTTCGGTCTTTAACGATACTGGCCAGTCATTTTCGTAAATCTCCTATTTGATTGGGCATTCTGCTGACGTTAGTGTCCGGTCAATATCGTCAGTGCCCAATTTACAACACTGCCCGTAACATAGCCTTTATTTTAAATATAGATTCAGGATATTAAGATACTAATGTTTCGCCAAATAATACTATGTCAAATATTCGTCAACTATTAATTTTTTTTTATCATATTTTGGTTAGGGTTATATTTTTGATGTGAAATATCAAAATTTTCTTATTAATTTTAAGATTAGATACAACTTTAAAAATATATATATATATTTGTTTGCATAAATTCAACCAAATTTAAGAAATTTGATTTTTTTCTCGACATTTATATACTAAATATGAATTTAATAAAAACAATAAAATACAAAAAAAAATAGTGTTTTTAGATCAAAAATAATTTTTGAGTGAGCCAAATATTGTTTTACAGAATAAAAAACCTACTGTGTTAAAATAATATCCAGTTATTTCAAAAATAAATTTATTGAAAGTTAAAATTTGTACTATTGCAAAAAACAATTTTTTTTGTTAGTTTGCATTGCACCTAGCTATATTTCAGCCAACCAGCAATAAAGAAAAAACAATTTGAATTCTTATTTTAATATTTGTATTTATTAATAAAATGTTTTAATTAGATTAGTTATCTAACTTATTTTGAATTGTCTTTATTCTTATTTTAATAAAAACCAGTTTGTAACTGTTTTTTAATAATATATTTTTCTTGAGACAATATATTTCTGCTTCTATTATTAATTTAAATCTACCGATTTCTCATAATTTCTACCGTTATTCTAAGATTTTTTTAGAGGTATAAAGATATATAGGTTGGCAACGCTATGCTGAGGCATAATTTACACATGATACTATAAAAAGAAGGTACGATATTACATAGAATGATACTACTTCTCTGTAATGTATTGTGGTCCAAAGGTGCGGTTTCTACGAATCTGAGGTAAGTACCAGCTGATCGAAAACGGGGCTCAAAAATAAACTTTAATCTGCTCATGACCATATTCCACACCACAATCGTCATGTATCATACCTCTGTAATTTTTTATATAATGTATTTTCTACTCTATATTCTTATAACATGTTTTTTTCAGTCTTTGGTATAAGAATTGTATTTATTTATCTTATTATTTTATAATAATTTTATTTAACATTGTGTTACGTACAGAACATGGGCTCTTGATAGCGTCTCGATATGGGTTTTTTATGCAATTGTTCTAGATTCAATAACAGATTATTCCAACAAAAAAAGAAGGGTGTTGGACCTTATTAAACTGCCTTATTATATAATAAATATTCTTAATAATAAAAAAGAAACGGTACAAAAATTTTCAAAAAAGATTAAAAATTGCATGGTGTGGCTATTTAATTTAAATGAGACATAAGATTGTATATAGTCCGTTTACGTTGGCCTGGCGTATTGACAATTTAAGTGGTGCAATAGCAAAAGTTATTTAAATATTTACAATACTATTTAATTGTTATAATCGAAAAAGCGAGGGCAATTAAAATAAAGTGTTCCATTTAAGAAACCTAACTTTGATATGTATCACTTTCTTGAAGAACCATGTATAATTGAAATTATTTTTAAATTGTTGGTTTTTGGGACATACATCTCATTGTGAAAACAAATTTTAAAAAATTAAATGGTTGTGGCTCTACAGACCAAGGCGTTACCAGTGGCCCACCCTGTATATAAGATATTACCTTACAAGGTCATTTTTAATTTGAGTGCAAGAAAAATATGTAGGTATGTATAAATGTTAAAAATGAATTCCGTGAAGCTAATTTTTAAAAATGTCAAATGGGCATCTCTATAAAGATGTTTGTTTTTTTAGAGAAAACGAAATCAAAATTAAAAAAAAACATATTACATAAATTTAGCATAAAAAATAATAAATATTGGTAAACAGTTTTATAAAGTTAGAGCATGTATTTATTTTTAAAATTAAAACCAATAATTACCAATAATGGCAGTGGGTTAAATTTCATTAGGAAATAAAAATACTTTTCAAGGACAACAACCACATTTGTTAATAATTTATCGAATTATTTAATTAATTAAATGTAAAAACGATGGTATTAAAATTGTATTTATTCCGCCCTGTCTGCTTGAAGTATAACGGTAATGCAAATGACTAACGTTCTGAAGCGGCATCTGTGAAATTACCTTTAAGTTCTTACTGTACAGAATCCTACAAGCTTTGGATATGGCGTATATCATCTTTCAGCTGCGTTGTCTCTAGCCGATTAGGTGAATTAATAATTAGCTTTTATTTCAAACCAAGCTTTCAGGAAAACCAAACATTATTTTAAAGTGCGATTTGTTTCATTTATTTGATATGCTAGTTGTACGGGTGGTAACGAAAAGAAAACGTCTAAATATGTTTAGTTTTAAAGTAAACACGTCGACAAGTCGAGGGTTTCTATGTGATT